CTTATGCCTATGTCTGCATGCTGATCAATTTGGTATTGGAATTTAAGAGAAAGCTCCAATTTTTTTGCTGCACACCATTTTTTGTTTTAGTATTTTAAAATATATAGTTGAACTTGCCTATGTCATATCCAAAATGCCATTGAGAAATTGTTCGACCCTAACAAAATTTGACTTGTACTTATGGTAATGGAAAACACAACAATTCGGCATGATGATATTCAACATCCATATTTTTTATGCTTCACTTAGTTATTGTTGTACATACAGTAAATTCAAGACTACTGGTGTTACTAAATAAACATTTTGAAACACAATTTATCATCCTTGTACATGGCAAATAATTTATTACAAGTGTATTTTCTTACAGTTAATATAAAATTGTTTTACTGTACACAGAATAAAGCAACATTGAAGCAGTCAGGTATTACAATATATATCACTGCATTTTCACAATATTTATTATCAAAATATTAAATATATGGATTTATAGTTACTGTAGTTTATACCAATGTAAAGAATAGGGAAAAACAAGTTAATTTATATACTGTATTAGCTTAAAATTTTAAAATATGAGACGAGAGTGGGGAAGATACAAAAATCATTGTACTGTACTTAACAACAAAATGTTCTTGAAATCAACTTTGCTGGCCTATCCGCATCAATAACAAAAATTTCAAGTACAGACTAGGTCTGGAAGGTTACACACAATTGACTGGTCCAGATATACAAAAGCTCTAGGCCTATGCTGACAAAATTTCCTTTCATGAGTGATGAGATTGTCAAAAAAACAGACACAGTTGTCACATGAATTGTCAAGAATGAATCTATTACATAAGATCTGTTGCATAATGAGGATGGACTTATCAGGTATCTTCCATAACAATTTATAAATAATTTTTCCAACACAAAGTATATTTCATCATCTTCTATAGCATAAAAAAACCCAGGGCAGTCTTCAAAGCTTCTGGGAACTTGTCCCTAATCGCCCACACAGTGCAAGATGGGATGACCCTTCTGTCAGATTTCTTTAGCTTGTTAAACACCTACCAAATGAAAGCCATCGATATCCAACATGTCGGCATTTCCTGTAAGAAGTACAATAAAAAGTTTGAACAGACTAGTTAAAAAAATCAGAGTGACACTTCTTACACCATTCAAAAACAATTAGTATTGATATTACAATATCTTTAAAGGAATTAATCATTCTGGCACTAATCATCAATGATAATTTTTGTTGAAAATATAACCATCACTGTGAAAAGCCCATATTCAAATGCATTGCAAAGTGGTGTAACATAGCCGCGACCTAATTATTTTGAATAGAATTTATTACTTCATTAATATAATACTTTTTTGTAATATAAAAATAAAAATTAGTTTAAAAATTACAAATGAAGACAAATAATAGACTATCTTGTTTCACAATCTTTTCTAATGTACAGTAATAATAATGCCCCTGTATTTTGACCATCAAAATGGCTGGACATTAGACCCTCTACTAGTTTTTGATCCAGCATGGAACCAACAGGGCCACGCCTAAGGCAGGTGGTTGTATTTCCGAGCAGAATGCCGAAAATTAGTCTTTGAACTAATCTGGATACTGTATATAACCATTGCCAATGTATCATGCAGAAGTTAAGTTCTGTGCACATTTTTCCAAGCCATTTTCCGCGCAAATT